TGTGAGCTGGGGGGGTAATTCTACTTCCCCAGAAGGAAAAGCTGCTGTGACTAAGTGCTTTTCTCCCCTCCCTAGTTTACCGTAATGTCCTGGTCATGAGGATCGCAGGAGCGGAAGGGCCTGGAGAAACGCATGGTAGTGTAGGTAGCGTCTTCTGTTAGCCCCAGCAGCTCAGCATCCTGGCTCCCGTCTTCCTCTAGAGTGTCTTCATCCACCAGGTGCTGATCCTGGGGTCCGGTGGAGGGCAAGCAAGAATCAGAAACACAAAAGATCATGCATGAGGACAGGAAGTGTCCCCTTAAATTCCCTCAGGATAGCAGAGTGGTGACACTGAGGGTTGCTTTATTTATTGTGTAATTTCCTCCTAGGGCAGAGCATGGCACCAAGAAATGGATTCTTTGGGAAGACAGGCCATGTCTGATTGAATTTCACCTCCCAACCTGGTTATACTTCTCCCATTGCAAGTCTTAGCTCTATCAGTCTTAATGTTCTTATATCCTTGCCTCTTGGAAGCTCACTTAAATTCTGAATGGTCTATGCCATCCCTTCTTTTTAGTATGGCTCTTAATATCTATTACCTTTCCCTGTTTATGGACATTTCCCTATAGTGATTATGAGCTCAGAATGGGTGAGATGGTGAGATGGTTGAATTACTTCACCTGAAAAGTGCAAATCATAATAATCCACTTCATGGTGATGCTATGAGGTCTACAGTGCAAAAAAATTTGGGACAGTGGCCAGTTGATGAAAAGTTTATAGCAATTTTAAGCAATTGATACTGCCGCTGCTGTGGCCGCTGCTGTTTTGGTATCATGCCATGCTATAGTTCACCTGATTGACCTTAAAAGAAACGGAGGATGGAGACTGCATCATCTCCAATAGTTTTGAAATGTTCCCAGTGACCTGCATTTAGTGTGCTATTATCAGGTAACTGGTACAGTCTAAAGGTCCCATTCTCTTAGTAGTTGGAGACATGTGATCTGGAAAATATAGTTCTCAAACTTTACTATTGGACCATTTCTGTAAGGAGAGATCAGGACTCAGCTAGAGATCCTAGGACACACGAGTATGTTTAGGGAGAATGGGTCCTTTGTGAACATGAAGAAATATTCTACCCACCAAAGGACCACATCCTTGGAAGGGAGTCCATCTTCAAACTTACCGAGAAATAAACATTGCCATCAGGCAGGACTCCTCCAATGACCAGATCACCTCCCACGATGGTGTAGCGATTTGTGATGCCTACACCTACCCAGCCAGCTGTTCGAACCTGGAGCTCAAAAACGATGACCTCAGTGTTGAGGTCAAAGTCCCAGCGCAGGAAAATGACATTGGAAGGATCTAGAAACCTGGAATAACGCAGGTGAGATGTGGGGCTGAGGTGGTAGCCTTGGGAAGTGTCTTCAAGAGCCAGAAGCAGGAAGAACTTTAAGAGAATGATACTGGTCATGGCTCTTGGGACCCAGAGCATCTTTTCTACAGATAGGCAATCAAGGGCTCTGGACTTATATACGCCTTTGCCTGTGCCAGGTGCCATGCCATGTGGGAGGGACAAGCTAGGACTCTTCTTATCTGATTATCCTCTGGGTTTAGAATGGTGCCACTTACATAACTGGTGTGAGAACTGTCCAGAGAGGGTACAGGGTACATTTCCCTCACACTGGATCAGGGTTCTAGCAGGAAATGTTCAGGAGTACATCTTTCTGACTTCCCACCCCAACTCCAGGCCAGTGTCCTGCCCGTGGAGACCCTGAAGAGTCCAGGGATTGTTTAGTTTCTCTCTACTTCTCTTTCTCTCCCTCTGTTTCTCCCCCCTTCCCTTTCTACCTCATCTCCTGCATTTTGAGATACTCTTACTGGGCATTCTGCCTCTGGTATATACCCTTTACCAGTTCATATGTGCGTTTCCCATTTGTCTATGTGTAGAGAGAAGTAGAAGCAGGGGTTGGGACTGGATGTAAACCCAGCCTTTCAGCCTCCCAGTGCAGGTAGGAAAGCAGCTGCTGGGAGGGCTGGTGGAGGCTGACTCCCTTCTCCGCTGAGTCTTTGCTAATTCCAGGAAGGACACCTGGAGGTGAAGCAGCTATAATCAGCTTTCCAGGTGGATGAGTCTTGAGTAGCTTTGGTTTTTCAGAGCACTTCTGGGGAGGAGCAAGAAGGGGAAGAACTGAGGGAAAAAGTGGGAGAAAAATGAGAGAAATAGACTGGATTTTGCACTTTGGAGAGTTTGTGTTTGACGTTTCCTTCCATGAGTTGCTTTCCTAGAATTTGTATTTTTCTGACTCTGCCCTGGTGGCTTCATCTGATTTCACTTGCAAGCACATTGATATTACATAAAACAATAAAAGTTCAAAAGGGATACTAGAATAACAGAGTACAAACATCAGGTCTACTTCATTTTCTAAAAACTCCTGGGACTGGTGCTATTTAGTGACTGCTTCTGAGGGAAGAACCAGAGTCTCGCTCTAACTTCAGACTGACCTCCTCCTGGCAGCTGACACAGCAATCAGGGCTGTGAGGCACCTCCCGTGGCCAGTCCTCCTTACATAGTGGAGAATACCAGTGTCCAGAGGGCCTCCCCAACAGGGTGAGGCCATCTACCACTTGAATCCAGCTTCAGGTGGGTAGAGAAATGCCAGAGTGAGTTGCTTAACTTCTGAACTCAGCACATGCATCGTCTGAATTACTCACTGAGCTCTGAAGCTGGCAAGGCTGTTTGCTGCTGCTGTGAGAGCTTGAGTCATAATAGGAGACAAAGAAGGGGAACAAATGTCCAAAGGAGCAGCCACAATCTCGAACTCTGGCCCTGGCAGAGAAGGTGAGAGCTAGGCAACCATCTGGAAGCAACAAACTTACTCCAGGATGGGGAGCCAGCCAAGACTAGACAATGCAGAATCGAGGAGGCACAGTGACCTTGAGGAACGGGAGTGCCAGCGAGGGAGATAACAGGAGTGTAGGAGACACTCTGATCCCAATCTCACTCGAGGATTAGGCTCAGGAGGAGGCACTGAGGATACGGGACTGCCAGGGCTGTAAGTGGAGAAGGGCGCAGGATCTCTTATCCTGCAAACTGCCTGGCTGGCCAGAGCACTGTCCTCAGGGAGAAGCAGCGCACTCCCTGAAGAACTGAGAGCCTGGGACTGCTGACCCAGGGAACCTCTCTGCTCCTGAGTGCTCCTCTGACTTCTCCCTCGGTGTGCCAGCTGTCGCTCTGCCCTTCAGTAGACATTCCTCAGGGAGATGGGCTTGAGTTCTGGACCAGTCCAATGCCCTTTATTAGTGTCTATTAGGAGACAGACATTAATGTGAGTACAGAGCAATTCCAGGTTTTGAGATAGCAAAGTTGTGTTGCTAAATGAGTCTTTCTCTCCGTATTGTTGTCTACAAAATGCTGAGATGGGAGAGATGATAGATGCAGGAACTTTTAACTCTAATTTCCCAGATAATTGGTTCCCAAACTGGAACTGGAAAAAAAAAAAACCTCTTACCAATGCCAAAAAGTCATAGGGACCTGTCCTTTTCATCTCGGTTGAGTGCTCTACCTGATAGGTAATTAAAGGCAAATGTTACAGGTAACTCTGTCATGTGTAATTGATTTGGAAATTTGTTGTTGTAACAATAAAAACAATTCTTATTGAGTCCTTAGCTTGTGCCAAGCTCTGGTCTGTTGCACTTTTTCATGTTTTGAGCTACTCATTCTTTTGAAATAGTTTTAATATTGCCTTCATCTTACAGATGAAAAAGCTGAGGGAAAATGTCACCCTGTGAAACTGACAGCTCTAGAAGTTATTGGAAAATATAATTAAAGATGATACAGTTGCATAAAAATGATTTATGTGAATCAACAAATATAATCAATTAGTTAATAAATTATAAACTAGTAAGTGTATTTAATAGTTAAGTATTATATATAATAATGAAAAAATCACAAGACTAAGAGAAAAATAAAATGGCTTTAATACTGATCAAACTAAAATGTAATATACTTCAATTTCAACCCAGAAGAGACTGAAAGGACAGAGTTCTCACCCTATCATAAAGCCAAGCAGATATCACATAACAATACATGTGCTTAAAATGAAGTGATCTTCTCAAGATCTTCTCAAGATGAAGTCCTCAGAAAGAGGAATTAACAACACCGTTTGTCACACAGAGCTCATCCCAGATGCACCTGGGAGTTGTGTGACATAGGTTTGCTAGATGGCTTTACCCAAAGAAATAAAAACATATCTTTGAACAAAGGGTAGTTTTACAATTTGGTGCAAAGCATTAATTGGGGCTTCTAAGTTGGACTCTTCCTTAAATTAAGGCAGGCTCATAAGCGAGGTACCTGCCTCCCTCAGAAACAGAGATAGGGGCGCTATCTTCCCTGAGAATTACATTGTGAAGAAAAGGTTCCAGGTTTTTGGGAAAAACACATTCCTCGTTCTTAAAGCTAACAAGCAGCTGATTCTTTAGCTTTATAAAAGGGTCCCCATATATTTAAAAGACACGGAGAACTTACCATTCCCGGTTTTCTAAAGTAGGAAAGAAAGTAGAGGGTGAGGGAGGGAGGGGTCTCTGCCCCTGTTTTGTACAGGAAGAATGAAGCCTGTCTTCAAAGTGTATTCGCCCTCTCTGAGTCAGACTCTGATAACGGGAAGTGAATATGTATTGTCAGACTGCCCCGTGTGGCCCTGCAGTATCTTCCACTTGTAGGTAAAGCCTGAGACTTAGAGGTGTGTTTGTTCAACATTATAAGTTTCACCGGCAGCATGAAGAAGTTTTAATCCCTTGCAAGATCTGAGACTCAGATTCAGGCCACTTTCAGGAATATCTGGGTCATGGTTGAGAGGGTCCAGGGTCGAGTCTATTCACCGAGACACTGTGAATGTGTAGAGTCAGGGGCTGGGAACATGCGTACTTCATGGAGCTCAGACAGCAGAAAAGCATGCAAACCTGTGGTTTGAGGTTTCTGCTTCGGGGAGGAGATGAGAGAAGATATTCAGTTTCCTGAGAAATGCACGCCCTTTTGAGCTTGAGGCACATGGAACTGTCAGCCTCTGACTGACACCTTCCGGGCTGGGATCCTGGTCTCCATCCGGGCTGGCCTGTCCCACACACTGTGAGAGAGAATCTGAGGGGCGAGAGATGGGCCCCTTTCCCATGCTGTGTGGCTGGATGGTCCTGGCTGTTCTGAGTGGAGGTCAGTGGTAAGCTGAGGAAGACACTCAGGGGGGTGAGGGAGAGACAGAGGGATGGGTCACTGGAGCACCACAGCCAGAGAATTTGCTCCCTAGCCCAGCCTTACCACCAGCATCCCAGCACTGCATCTCACCAAGGTCAGGTGTCCCTTCTGCTCTGAGCACCCTCTTACCCTGGTACCTCCTAGATCCCCTCTCCTGCACTTAGCGCAGTTAGTTACAACTATGGGCGGCCATGCTGTTTACTATCACCTTGGCTGACCTATGTGTTTCAGAAGCCACTGTCAGCCCGGTGGAGCAAATGCCCAGGTGGGCGCTAATGCAGGCTGGACAGGCAGAGACTCTCCGCTGCATCTTGAAGAATTCCCTGTACCCCTGGATGGGCTGGTACCAACAAGATCTCCAGCAGCAACTGCAGTTTCTGGCCACCCTGCGGAGTCCTGGGGACAAGGAGACCATATCCCTTCCTGGAGCGGATTACCTGGTCACGCGGGTCAGTGAGACAGAACTGAGGCTGCAGGTGGCCAATGTGACTCAGGGAAGAACCCTCTTCTGCACCTGCAGTAAAGACACAGTGAGAAACCCTGCTAGGGCATTTGAATAAAAACCACAGACAGACTCTCCTGGTTCCCACCCTTCCCAAGCCTGCTTCCTCCCCAGATAGACCTTCCTTTCCTACTTTAATCTCAAGTAGACTCTCTCTCTCTCTCTCTCTCTCTGTCTCTCTCTCTCTGCTGATTTCCCATTTGCTTTTTTCTGCCCAAATAGTGCAGCAGTTTAACCCAGGTGCTGGAGGGCTGGAGCGTACACCTTGGCTCTGCTATGGGTGAGCTCTGGGGAAGTCTCCTTTCCTCCTAAACCTGGCCAAGCGCCTGTAACATGCAGACAGAAAATTTACCCATCCCAGGAGTCTGCTGCAAAGCTTGAACTGTGAAATTTAGGTGAAGCTTTTATTATGCTGCAGAGGGGTACAGAAAACAATCACATGGCCTTACTTCTTCTCCCCACAGTGTGCATATATAAAAAATCACCCTGCAATTTAGCGCCAATCTCAGTCCTCACAGATAGGCTGAGAAGAAACCTGGAGAAATGCTGGGAGCTCAGAAAAGGGGAGGGCTGAGTGGTGAATGTGTACCCCATCCCCATATACCCCTGAAGGAAACACCCATTTTTCTAATGACAACATCATTCTCATCACCACACCCATATCTGTTTATCACACCACAATTTCCAGGTGGTCTTTCAAAAGAACCTCAGAAAGAAGCAAGAGTCTGAAATCTGTGGTGGAGGGCTCAGCAAAAACTCTAGTAAACAGCCTAGGGCCCAGAACCGGATCTGCAGCCCAAGTACCAGCATCAAGCAGCAGAAAAAGGAGGCTCTGAACCCAACCCTAGTTTGTTGGGAGCAGACTAGGAGGTTCTGAATGACAGCAAGAGAAGGGGGAAGAAGAGAGGGAAGGAGAGACAGAGGAGAGAGGGAAGAGAAAGAGAGCTAACCACACTGCAGCTGACCAACTGCTCCTGTCTCAGGAGCCTCTGCATCCACAGGTAGAGACCAAGCGAGCAGACAGCTGGGATGAAGTGGCCGCAACAGCCTGTGAAAGGAAGGCATCTCTATCTCTCAGGTGGGGGTGGTGTGGGGTGTGGGCCGGGATCCTGGTAGGGAGGTTTCCTCAACCCTTGTGGTGAGTGAGGAGTCCTTCCAGCAGGGGGCACCATTGGCCCACAGCTCTCCATGATGTACCCTGTTAATTGGGATTTGTAGCTACTCAACAATGCTCTTGTTTTACTTTTCCTCCCTTTCCTAGGCCTCTGTCCTGTCACTCCTGTCTCATGTCTCCCTTCCCACAGGCTGAACTGAGAATGGTCTGGCTGTGACATGGTTGGGCTCACCCTGGGGCTGGACAGTCACTGCCCTTGTGCACAGTTCCATGTCCTGGCTCTTTCCTAAAACACTGTGAGCTGTAGAGAAAGACGGCCTTCCATGTGACCCTTAGACTGTCTTTCTGCAATGTTCTTTGTACTATCCAAGCACAAGGACTCTTTCCCCAGAGGGAAATGGATCTAGGCAATAAAGCAGAGGGACCAGAAACTTGGGCCTTGACAAAGGGCCTCCTTCCACCTCTAACAGAACAAGTTCACCCAGACATGTAGTGTTGGCTGCACTGCTGTCTCTTTAGCTGTTCTTTGACCTAATGTCATTTTCTCTGCTTTCCTGTAGCCTTGTCAGGCTTTTAGTCCCCCTTCCCCTGCAATGCCTACTCGTGTCCTCTCCCTTTCTCTCACATACGTGTTTACCCCCATGGGCACACACTTACACATCAGGAAGTACAAATTAAAATGGACTACAAAAATATTCTGCTCAGTGTCTACATGTTTTCTTTACACTTCTACCTCCCATGACTCTAGCGAGACCCACTCACCTCGTAACCTGCTTTCAAGAGCAGAATAAAAATTTATGGTGGAAAGACCAGAAAGCATATATCTGGATGTCTTCCTCAAAGTCTCATGTACTCATAGGTGGAGCTTTGTGGACATGGCTGGATCTAGGGTGTGTGACTGTGGATTAAGGGTGTAATAACTCAATTAGTCTATTGATTTGCTTAGCATAGTTATGGGTGTGGATAATGGTTTGTAGTCTGGATAGAATAAAAAGGGGAGGGAGGCTCACTGCTTTACTGCCTCGGCCAGCTCTACCAAAGACTATTTCCCCTCCTTGATGCCGCTCTGCCAAGCCACCCTGCCCTGGAGCCAGGTGACTATAAACTGAAACCTCCACAAACAGTGAATTAAAACCTTTCCTCTTTTAACTTTCATGGGTTGGGTATTTTGTTCCAGCAATGAAACAGTAGCTAAGACAGTAGTCATTTTAACTTGCATTTTCTTGATTACTGATGTGGAGCACCTGTTTTATACATAACTATGTTTGATGCATTGGTACCAGTAACAAGTATAATACTGTAAAGGAAAACTCTGAAGGACTCCCTGATGGAAACAGAGTATTCTTCCCAAGAGACAGAAGTCCAATCAACTTATCTGGCTGCTCTCTTTTCTCAGGTTAAGATTTACATAAATTTCTTGAGAGTGGCTAGTGCTCTGTTCTGCTAGACACTTAGAAGGAGCAAGACGGGAGAAACGGGGGTGTACTCTTTTGGGAATACTTACATAATGTAGTAGAATTTTTTAGGGTTAACTCAGACCAGGAGAACAACTGTGTCCTATAAGAATTATTGCTAATGTATTTTTCAGAAAGTTTTGATAATCAAATGAATAAGCTGGGCTGCCCTGAATTCCTTGCTTATACTGCCAAATGTTTCTGTAGGGGATTCATAAACAAGGTGGAAATGGAGCCAAATGGAGCTTGGTGGTGACCGAACAGCATGAGTTCTTGAAAACCCAACTTTACAGACCCTGTGTCAAACTCAACCTGAGCTCTCTGTACCTTTGGTACTCAACTTGTCAGGTGGCGATAGGTGAGTCCTCTTCATCATGCGAGAGTAGCTTCTGTCTTCACTGAAAATGATGCATTCTGGTGCCTTAGTTACTTTTCTCTCATTGCTAGGACAAAATGCCTGACACCCACAGTGATGAAAAGAAAGGTTTATTTATCTCACCATTTGTGGAGATTTCAGTCCATAATCAGCTGGCTCCAATGCAGGTGGCATGGCTGAGGGGTGACTGTTCAGGGCAGTGGAGAACAGCAAAAACAACAAGAGTAAAAGGGGAGGGGAAGCAAGTTTCTTTTCTTCCCTTATATAGTAAGCAGGTTACCTCCTCCCCTCCCCATAGGGTGGGCATAGTACTCACAGCATCTGCCCTCCTCTTGCACAGGCTTAGAATGTTTACAAAGTGAGGACCCTAACCCTCTGCTGAATCATTTAAACTTCTAAACTTCTCAAGTTGACACAATGAATCAACCATTATAACATCCTGGGTAAATAGCTGCCCTAGGGCATGTCCTTTACACCCTAGGATATGGAACTGCTGTTGCTTAGTTAAGTTTCTAAACTTCTCAAGATGACACAATGTATGAATCATTACATCTGGATTTGGATTTTCTTTTCTCTGCCATTGTCCCTGTCCTAGTACCACTAAGCTCAAATTTCCTGAATGCCTCTGTATTACACAAAATAGGAATGTATTCTCCAAGCAAGGACATCACCTCCTAGTGCTCATGGTGAGATCCATGGATGTCATCCATGTCTGTAGGATTCAGGGACCTCTCCATATATTTTGCCTGTTAGAATCAGCTCACTTTACACAACATTAGTACCATTTGGTGAAATCTTTGCACAAGCTTAAGCTGAAAACCTCTTCAGAGGCTGATGTGCTTTTCTGTAAAATGAGATCAAAACCATTTCTCCAATAATAACTAAAAAATTATTAAGCACAGTTGGTAAGATGATGCTTTCAATTTGTGAAGATGATTGTACTTGATATTTCATATGCAAGGTCTCACTTCTGCTCACTCCAATCTAGGCTTAGCTGCTTTGGAGGTTCTCCAACCCTTGAGAAGACAAGGCTTCCTGCTTGAATTTGGGATTTCTGAATTGAATTTCAGAATGAGGCATTTTCTTTTCCTCCAGCTGGGCCACAGTCAGAACTGTCTAAATCCTGCTTTTCCTTTTTTGAAATCTTCAGTCAACTACCCAAGTGAACTCTCTATGTGAAACTATCAGAAAAAAGTCTTTGGTGGTAACTGAAGTTGCAGTGGTAAGGTGAAAAGGGAAAGGAGGAAAAGAGGAGAAGGAAGGAGGCTCCTGAGGCAGTTGGCATAACATAAAAAGGAAACACGTGCTAGGAAATGAGTGCTGAACTCCCTAATTGTTATATCACAAAGCCTCAGTTAACATTTATATTAACCTCTCATGGGTTAAGTAGATACCCAGAAGCCTACAAAATGAATGGTTAGACTCTCCTTATGACCAGAGTTGAGAGTTGTGTGGACAAGGAGAAACTAAATGCCATACTTTCACAGTCCCCATCCTATTTCCTCCACTCCTCATCAGACTTCCTAATAGATATGTCTAACATCTCAAAAGCATATGCCCTCAGGTAGTGGGGGGGTTAGTACCCAAACGACTGTGGGGTTTTCCATTTTTCCATGAATCAATTATCAATTTGTTACAGAGAACACAACACCTACTTCCCAAACTCCAACTGCCTAGCAGTTTTGAGCTTTTTGTCTTCATCTACAGAGATGGGAGGGCTTTTGTGTCTAAGACAATGATCAGTCACGGATGCTGTCCGTCAGAATGAGCAAATACACAAGGTGCAATCCAAGGAATTCCTTAGTTTAATTCTGCAGCTGGACATGGGTACAGGCTGTGTCACACAGTTTGCAGTTCCTGCCAGGGGAGCTCAGTTGTTCTGGATTGTATCTTTAATCCAGGGCAAGTGGTGAAAGATACTGGTGTAGATGCCAACATCAGCTCGCAGAATGCACCCATCTGCGTAAGCTAGGATTCCGTAAAGCGTCCCGTTGCACACTGCTGGGGCAGCAGAGACTTCCTACCAGAAAAAAAAGAAAACAGGTTATCTTTCTGGGATGAGACAGAGAAAGAAAATGAGAAAATTAAGGCATTGAGAGTAGGTCACCTTGCAAGGTTTCCTCATTCCTGGCACGATGCCCACACAGATCATATTATTTTTGATGTTGTAGCCTGGATAGCCATTCCGACACTCATTTTCAGTGATTACAGAGACTTCTACTTTCTGCACCATGTCAGGGTCCTTGACTACAAGAAAAGAGATAAATAGAACTTCCTGAAAGGTTCACTTGTGTGCCTTACCTAGTCTTTTCTTTCTCTCTTTTCTAACACATGTGTGTGTTCTTCTGCAATCAAAAAGGAAAATACCATGAGAAAACAGGACTGTGGAAGTTAGGGCAACCAGCACACAGAGGATTATCAGATTAACAGTTTCTCATTATGACAGTGATTAAATTCTTGGAAGTTTTATATAAATGTCAGACATTCCTGCAAACAAATGAAACAAGTAGCTTTAATTTTTTTTTGGAGATTTAGTCACCTGCAGAGTATCTTTTCAGAAGCTAGTTTCAGAGCACCAAGAAATTTAGAGGTATCTAGCCAAGTTTCTCATTTGCTAGATGAAAAACCAAACTAACCTGAATCCAAACAAAGAAATGTATCTGCTCAAAAAAAAAAAAAAAAAAAAAAAAAATCCCACACATTTTCTTTGGCTTAAACATCAGTAAGTGGTAAAATTTGGATTTAAAACTGAGAATCTTGATTCATAATTCAGGTCATTTCCTTTACAGCTCACAATTTTTGTCAACTAGGTATAGTTATATACATTTTTTTTCTAATCTGAAACAAAATGAGAAAAACAAAAGCAAAGTAATATCTATACACAGGGCAGGTGCTCTTTGAAAGTGTCATACTTTGGGAAAAATATTTTGAAATTTTTGTTTTTGTTAATGAGTGTGTGTTTACTTCAATATCTTTGTTTGAAAATAACATTGATTCTTGAATAGAAGCATTGAAATCCTTTCTTTTCTTTTCTTTTTTGTATTCTTGCCCCATTCTTTTTTTTATTTTAGAAGTTAAAGAACAAAAACATATTAAGAAACAGACATCCGTTTACAAAGTAGCACAAGAATAGTACAAGAATACTGAATTACAGACAAGGTGACAGGGAGTTTACAATGGTTGTTGTATTCTTTTCTTCTTTTCTTTTCCTTTTGAGACCGGGTCTCACTATGCAATTCAGGCTGGCCTTCAGCTCACTTTGTAGCCCAGGCTGGTCTCGAACTCGCAATGATCTTCCTACCTCAGCCTGGTGAGTTCTGGGATTACAGACATGCACCACCAGGCCTGGCTGAAATCCTTTATTTTCTGGTACAGCAATAATTTCATCCCTCAACATTTCCTTTGTGAATACTTCTTTAGAACATACCAGTTTTCTCGCTGATTCCAGTCAATCTTATATTGTTCTTATATGCTTCATCCTGTAGCTGCTGGACTGATTTTTTGTCATCTCTTGCTATTTTTAAGATATATTTCTTTTCTGGTCATGTTCCTGTCTTTTAGATCTGATAGTCTATCCTCACCTTCATTCACTTTGCTGAGTATACTTTCAATGGAGTTTCTAATGTTCTACATTTCTATTTGGATCTGTTTCATTGATTCCACTTCTTATCTATGTTTGGCATTCATGGCTTCCATTGTTTTCCTGAGCTCCTCTATTTGTTTATCTGTGCCTGCTTTAATATCTTTCATTTTGATAGTCATTTCTTTTTGTACCTTAGAGATTAATGTTTTCTATGGCCTCTTGCATTTCTGCTGCTTTTAGAAAGTTCCATTTGTTGGCTTCTGATTTTCTTTATCTCTTTGTACTGTGGACATGTATATATTGTGTAATGATCCAATCAGGGTGATTAGCATACTTACCACTTTAAATATTTGGTTTTTGGTGGTGAGAATATTTAAAATCCTCTCTTCTACCTCTTTTGTTTTTTTTTTTTTTTTTTTTCTTTTTTTTTTGGTTTTTCTCTGGTACCGGGAACCGAACTCACAACCTTGCTCTTGCCAGGCAGGCGCTTTTGCCGCTGAGCTAAATCCCCAGCACCTCTTCTACCTCTTTTGAAATATACATTGACAGTAACTACCCCACTGGACAATAGGACACTAGAATTGTTCCTCCTATCTAACTGTAACATGTACCTGGCGATCAGCTTCTCCCACCTCCCCTCCCCCTCCTTTCCCCAGCTTCTTGACCTATTTAAGAAATTGTACACCAAGATTAGTAAATGAAGACATTTGCTTGAAGATCAATTTTAAAAACATTGTTAAGAGAAATGTGTACCTGCCTGTTGGCTTCTATGAAAACAAGGAGATGGACAGATAAATAAAATGTGACAGACTTGTTTAAAATGACCTTTCCATAGAATGGTACCTACTGTACAAGGCATACTAAACATACTCAAATAAATATACTCATGAGTAAAGTCATATTAATAATTATTCATAAGGGACTATTTCATTGTATTTTCACATAAGTAATGAAATCTTTCTCTATGACTCACTACTGTCTTAATTCATAGCTACAGACAGCTTATTAGGATTTATATGAAAATTTGGGGGTAGGATAGCAAGCAGATAGTAATAAAACTTAGAGAGCAGAAAGCTATTCTAACTTGCTTAAAGTTTTTCCTGGAACCTGAAATGGGAGTTATAGGAGAAAGTTTAAATAGAATATCTATTTCAGTAGCCTCCAATCATGCATAGAAACTTCCACTGATAAAATATGGTAGCCCTTTGTCAGTCTTCTGAAGAAATGAATAACGTTTAGAATGTTATTAATTAAAAATATTTCTTCCTGAAATATTTTTCTTAAGCTTCAAACTAGGTATTGCTTACAATCTTACATAAAGAAGTTCTGTCTGATTAGCAATGTGGTATGTATTTCTTTTTTATTTTTCCAGCGAGTCAAATCCAGGAGTACTCTTCCCCTTAGTTACACCCCAGTCTTTTCTTTTTCATAGACAGGATCTTAAACTTGTGATCCGCAGGCCTCAGACTTTTTAAGGGTTGGAATTACAAGTGTGTGCCACTATGCCTGCCTGGGTCTAATGTTCAATATATTAATGTCTATTTCATGATATTCAAGGCTTAAAGTTGCTTTTTTACCTGATATGGTCTGAAAAGTTAATATAATGTTATGCTTTATTTTTAGAGCTAAGGAAATTTAATCCCTAAGGTAAATAAAATGCTATTACACAACTAAGACTATGTGCGTAAGTCCCTTCTTTCTGTTGATTCCCCTTTTATTGTACATGGAAGCAGCGGTAATAGAAAGATGAGGTGGGGAAAAGTCTAAAGGACTCCTTGAGGAGGCTGCAGGGAAAGGGAAAGGAGATGAAAGGGATGGATTCCAGGCTTTGAAGAAGCCTCACTGGGCAGAATTGCCCAAACCAGGAGAAGGCACAGAGGTAGATCTAACATGGGGAGAATGTTACTGAAATCAACAGATATCATTAGGTCTTAAACTCACGCGTATCGCAGAAGTTGTAGGCCCAGGTGGTGACGTCACACATTGTTTCTGCATCGACAGGTTGTCTAGGTAGTTTGACCACATTCACATAGCTCCCGAGCTCAGCCTCGTTAATCAGCTTGATTAACGTGAGATCATATTCAATAGAAGAGACTAAATATTGTGGGTGATTAATTATCTTCTCGTAGATAACCACTTGCACATCAGCTTCGCTGGTATTTGATGGGTCTGTGATCCCCAGTACGACCAGGAGTCCCCTGGAACAACATGGATGTTTATGAGAGGACTTGAGATATATGGTGTCTCTACTCCTAGGCCCTCTATTAACCCCTTCCCATATTTTTTCAGTGACACTAAATGTCCCCAAAGGTCTGCCTATTCTCAACGAACTGGGAGAGAGTCCTAAGCAGAGATCTGGGTCTATGTCCTACTTGACGAGCGAGAGTAGAGCGGCTGTGGGGGCTTTTCACTCACGGTAAATTGCAGTGTGCAGCTGTGATCACCCAAAGGGGGTGAATCAGGACTCCTGTGCAGGGCAGGTAATCGGATTTCAAGTAGACCAAGTAGGGAGGTTGGATATCACCTCTGGTGTCTGGATTATAGGCAAAAGCAACTGGAAAGAGGAGCACAAATAAGAAATTCGGAACTTTCTCAGTAATCATTAGAGAAGCCCAAAGAAAATCATTAAACAGGCCTTGAGTCCTCCCTTTTCCTCTAATAAGTTGTATTACAAACTAAATCTGGAAAATGACATGTTATTCTAAAATATGAAGACAGTTATAAAGGATAGAAACATCTGTTTCAAAAAATAAAAGAGGTGTTTTCCTTTTACTTGTCAATAATTATTCTTTAAGTTGAAATATAAGTTTTCATGATTCAGTGGACACTGTTAAATCAGCTTATTCTCACTTTCACAAATCATGTTTCCCTCTCAACAATAATGCAAGACAAAATGATCTAAGTGTCATAATAAAGGCAGGCCAAATGTCAACGGAGTCCAAGGAAGGTGCCGGGAATAAATCATTTATTCAAAAAATATTGAGAACTTAGTATGTCAGAGCCTAGTACTATACAGTACTATACACTGAACAAAATATCAGTATCCCTGCTCTCATGCATTCAAATTAGTAGAGGCATTCAATAACAATATAGTATACATGTAAATGAAAGTAGTATGCTAGACGGTGATCAGTGCTATGGGAAAAACGATAAGGAAGGATGGAAAGGCAGTACCAGTTGTGTGTGTGTGTGTGTGTGTGTGTGTGAGCATGCACACATGTGTGCGTGAGGTGGACGTTTATGCAGTATTAAGTTAGTAGTCAGCGTCAACCTCATAGACAATGCTGACAAATAGCATAAGGACAGAAAGGTTAAATGATCAGATATATGGGGCCAGGGACTCCAGGAAGAGGAGAGCGCTATAGCCAACAATCATAAGTCCTGTTTAAGGAACCGCACTGCAGCTGCCACCCAGCGGGGAGGGGGAGTCGGCACAAAGTGTTTCAGGAAGTGATGGAGAGGGATGTTGGAAGAACGTGGACTTATTCTCTAAATGGAAGTGCTACCACCTTAGGGTTTCACGTAAAAGAGTGACGACAGTTTCCTCTTGGAGATCTGTAAAGTGTAAGGTCCAGAAGCAGAGGGGCCTGGTGGGAGAATAATTTGATAGTCCAGGCAAGAGATGGTGACTTGGAGTATTGTGGGCCATGGAGGAGTGGAGGTGTGATTGGTTTCAGATTTGCTTAGAGGACAGAACCAACAAGATTTTCCTAACGTGGGGAAAAAGGACCATGCTAACACCCAACTTTTCAGCATTCTCCAGTGCCCATTAGTTGGACACCTGCTTTCAAACCCCACCCTCATCTCCTACTCTCTCACCCCAACATCAGTCTTGTTCTACACATGTCCAGAGTCACCTCTTCCTTAGGAGTGGGATTATATGGAGGTGTCAACGTTTGTGTCTGCCTCAAAAGCAAGTAAGTAATAAAGGTGAGGAAGGCAGGCATTGCCCTAGGAGAACCTTGTTGGGGAAATCTATAAAGGTGCCTCTGGTCTTGATTCATCTTTCAAGCTTTCCTCAGGATTTCTCCTTAGCAAATAAACAGAGAGAAGTAGGGATACTCACCAGGCAGGCTGAAGAAAGTCCAGAGGAGAATGAGTTTCATGATGACATTGAAAGGCTGTTTACAGGATAGGTTTCAGCTCATAGATTCTGGAAGCATAATGGGGACAGGAATTAAGCAAGATAAAGCAGGATGAAGCTCTAGAGTTGGGAGGAAAAAGGTCATCCAAATTCTTTTGGTGGGACAATTCAGTTCACAAAAATGGCATCCACCCCTCAGAGTAGGAGTGGTATACGCTGTGGGAGTAGAGAGAAACTGAGCTTTTTGACTTGGCCCCCAACGCAATAGGAAACTGTTCTGGAATGAGGGTTTTGCTGTCCTTTTCAGGGAAGAAAGTACCTGCCAAGAGCGAAATTGAAGTTTACAATGTACCCACAGCCTTCTCATGTGTGACCTCTGCAGGCAGGTGCCTTCTAAGCTATATGAGGACCCTGGCACCCTCCTGCCTCTGTGATGCAGGCCTCCATTTGTGTGACACTGTTATTGGTCTCCAGGATATGTCAAGCCCTCTAAGGCTGATATTGCTCCCTCTGCCTGACACCGAACTCTTCTTTGAAATGTTTCAGTCCTTTGCTTCCTGTCGCTATTCATTTATTTATTCATTCCCAATCATCAAGCCAGAGATTTATGGTGTATGCGCCTCACTTGTGGTGAGATCTGTGATTGCTGTTTGAGAGGCTTAGATTGAGAGGATGCCTTTCTGCCTTCCAAGGGGTCCCAGATGGTGGAATGACATGTACTTAAGTGCATGTTTACAACTTCAAGTATTCAGAGCTAAACATTGAGGGCTGTCTCAGGTTGGGTAAAAATGTTTGTAAAATATGTCTGTTAAATACTAATTTGCATCCAAAATACATAATGAAATAGTAAAACTCAACCATAAGAAAACAACCAATTTAAAAATACATCAAAATCTGAACAGACACCTTATCAGATGTTTTAGTCTGCTTGGGCTGCAGCAATAAAATTGTGCAGTCTGGGCACCTTAAACACAAAATCTTAAGCCCATCGTGGTGGTGCACACCTGTAATTCCAGCACTCAGGAGGAAGAAGCAGGAGGATTGTTGTGAGTTCAAGGCCAGCCTGGGCTACAAAGTGAGCTCAGAGCCAGCCTGTCTCAAAAATCACATACACAAAATCTTTATTTTTTCCTCACTGTTCTGGAGGCTGAAAGTCCATGTGACAGGTGCTGGCAATTTGACTTCTGGCAATGGATGTCTTCCTGCTTGCAATGGTGACCTTCTTATGTGGGTTCCCACGACTTTCCTCTATCACATGTGAAGAACAAGAAGGAGTAAGACCTTTGGATTTTCTTCTTTTAATATAACTAGTGCAATCAGTTTAGGGCCATACACTTTTAACCTCATTTAACTCTAATTACTAAGAAACTTTATCTTTGAATATAGTCACAGAAGAATTGGGGGCTTCAACATTCCGATTTTGGTAGTGGTAGGGGCACAGCTCTGTCCACATCACCAAGAAGTTATACACATGGAAAACAGTGTGTGAAATCATTCTCAAGTAGTAGGCCGTTAGGGAAATACAAATTAAATAACAATGAGATACTGCAAAACACCTAATAGAATGGCTGAGATTTCAGCACACTGATAATAGCAAATGTTGGCAAATATGGGAATTTATTGCTGGGGGGAATGCAAAATGGTATAGCACTTTTAAAAATAGCTTAGAACTTTCCAAGCTAAACATAGCCTTACCATATGATCCATCAGTCACACTTTTTGATATTTATCCAAATTAGTTGAAAATTTATGTCCACAAAGAAACCAACACATGAATGTTTAGTAAGAAAAACAAATCCAGTGGCATCACAATCCTATACTTGAAGTTATACTATAAAGTTACAGTGATTAAAGCAGCATGGTAGTGGCACAAAAAAGGCATGTAGATCAACAGAGCAGACTAGAGGAATCATAACCCCAGGCACACATAGCCATTTGATCTTGACAAAGGAGTCAAAAACACACACTGGAGAACAGTCTCTTTAATAAATGGTGTGGGAAAATTGGATCTCCATATGCAGAAGATTGAGTCTGTCTAGACTCATATAGCTCACCATGTACTAAGCGAAAAACAAAATAGATCAAAAACCTACATGTTAAAACTGTAACATTTAGTCTGCTGGAAGATAAAATAGGTAAAACTTTGAAAACACGGGTGTAGGCAAGGACTTTTTGAATAGGACTCCAATAGCACAAAAAATAATACCAAAAACCAACAAATGGGATCATATCAAATTAAAAAGCTTCTGGCTAGCAAAGAAAACATACAACATAGTGAAGAGACAACCAACAAAATGGGAAAAAGTGCTAGCTATTCATCATTCCAAATGCTAGTAACATTTGGAATATAAAAAAGAACTCATTAAATGTGTTTTAAGAAATTAAGTTTGAGGTAAAGAGTTTTAAACAGCAACAGAAAACCAATGGGAGTGTCTGTTGCATGCCGGGACTTTATTAAATATGGAGGGTTCAGTGGTCAAGGGACTGAATACAATATAAATTAACACCACACATGTCACAGTGCGGGAAGTAAAATGAGATGGAGAAAGATGTAATGTGGGCCCTCATGTGAGGGTCAGAAAACCACAGTAGGGATCTGAAGTCTGAGACATGAAGGGTGAGTGGAAATGAGACAAGTGAAAAGATGGGGAGAAATCTCTGGGAAGAAGAACCAGGGCTCAAGAGAGCAGAAGGCCTGAGGGGAGACAAAGACAGGGAGATGTACAGAGGAGAAACCTGTAGAACAGACCTTTCAGGGATCTGTCAGCAGGGAGACAGAAGCCAGAGAATAGGTCTAGAAAGGACACCCTGGGCTGTGCATTTTAAATGAGGGAAATTTGATTTTCTTAAGTTAAAGCAGGACAAAGCCAATAGATTGGAGAAGTTGGATAACAGGTACCAAAACACAGTTGCATAGGAAAAATTAGTTCTAGAGTTCCACAGCCCGCTGGTGTAACTATAGTTTACAATATTTTATGATGTATTTCAAAATAACTAGAAAAGCAGAGCCCCAAATTTCCCAACATGTAGAAATGAGAAAAGTTCCAGGAGACTAAAATGCTGAGTACCCTGATTTGATTATTGCACATCATATATATGTAATGTAATACCCTCATATATGTATAAGTACATTAAAATATATGCAGAAATAGACACGTTCAAGCCAAAGAGAGAAATATACAAAGAAAAGATAATTAGTAAAGCAAGTCCATGAGGAAGGCAGGGGAGATGAATTCCCTATCTCAGAGAGAAATTCTGAATGTAATGTTACTCTTCCATGGTAGCAGGAAGCATAGGGAAAGAACAGCAAAATAGCAGACTATGTTTGCAGGTTTGAGGACTTCACGCTTATAAGATGATATCTCCTATTCACAAAGCAGAGACCTTCTGCCACAAGTGAGCACTCGAAGTTTGAAGAAAGAACAGCTCTGGAGTGGCTGCGGAGAATCACATAACCAATTCCCTTGGAAAATAAAGTATTACTGTTAAGTGCCGAAGGCATAATTCAAGAACTGTAGAAGCGGGGTATGGTGGCACATGCCTATAATCTTCTGCTCTGGGAAGAATGGCAAGTTTGACCCAGGCTAGGCAGTTGAGTGAGACCTATTCTCAAAATAAAGAAGAAGAAGGGTGCTGGGGATATAGCACAGTGTGAAGGCCCTGGGTTCAATCCCCAGTAACACACACACACACACACATTCACACACATGTTGTAAGAAGTCCTCAGTTGACCACTTAAAAAATCCGTAGGCATAAATACAACTATGATTCTTTAAGGGAGCAGGAAGCACTGGACAGCGATGAATCAGAAACAGCACTTGAGTGGGTGTGGGTATGAGGATCAGAGAGAAGATAGAGGAAGAAAGGCTTATAGTGTGACTGGGCCGCCAAGTACAGGACCTAACACAATCTTTATCCCATTCGTTCTCCTTCTCTACAATTGATTTGCTACCATCACACGTTACTTTTTTCCATATATTCTCTGCAGGACATGTTAAACTCTTCTTTTCCTGGCTTTTAATAAACTATTCTCTCAGTTTTATGCTATTCTCCCCTGACTTGCCTCTAACCCCACCACCGAAATACTTAATTCTGTGTTGTATGTGAGACTGTTCTTCATTTTCACTATAGCGATTGTCACAAGGTATCAGAATTGGATCACTGATGGGAAAGATCATTATGTATCCATGCACAGGTTCAATAATTTTTGTATGAATGAACAAATAGCAGAAATGATGCTAAATTTCTCACCATCATCAAAGTTTGTGTGTTAAATAAAGCAGGAATCAGAAGTGTTGGATGTCTTTTTTATTGGATGTTTTCACCTCAGAGTTTGCTCAAGAATAAATAAGATGAAAAAAGCTGTGGATCTAGTGTAGAAATGCAGACATTACTTTGAGGGGGCATCTCAGCGGGTATTCATGATTTCCAGGATCCATCTTGCATAAGGATGAACCTCTGTGAAGAATCCCTCACTTCCCAGGGTGAGAGCTCCTTTGGTCCAGGACAAGATTCCGTGCACTCTCCCACTGCAGATGGCTGGAGCCGCCGAAACTTCCTGCTCAGGAGAGGAAACAGGAAGTCAGTGTGGCTTTGCCTTCACAGAACGAGAGTAAAATTCCAAGCAACAAAGTCTCCCAAAGGAATGGGTTTATTTTGCTGAAGAGGTAGCAGCCCTCTCTGAACATCCACACTGGTTTTACCTTCTTGATTCAAGCTTGACCCCAACCTTAGTGCAGGCAGGGGAAAGGACAGCTGGTCTATCGCAGATATTGCCTACCCTTAGATGGAAAAAGGGGAAAGAAATATAACTGGAGACTGAGCGGGCTGGGGAGAGGGCCTCTAGCTCTCTATCCCTTACTCTGTGGAGGAGCATTTGATTTCTCATTATCACTGCTCTCTCCCAGTGGGCCCCGTGCTACTTGTCTATGGGGGAGAGAAAGATACCTTAATTTTAGATAGGACAATGAGAGGTTGTCCTACACACATGATGTTCACTGAGGTTCTTTGCTCTTGTTGCAGAAGCATATTCAGGCAGTCATGGGAAGGGAGAACATGTTGGTTTATCCACATCAGGTTATCAGGGTCAGTGACTGTGGGTAAGAAAAAACAAACTGTAGAGTTATTCACCTTGTCACAAGTGCTTTTGTGGTCAGTCTCTATTTTGTAAATAAATTCCCCTCAGAATATTCAGTGCAGGTCATAGTAGACACGCTGTCCTTCTTAGGGTGCCTAGTTTAAAATCACCAGATCTATAGCTCTCTGTCTCTACTCTGCATGATGTATGAAGATTAGAAGCACCTGTGTAAACATTACGAATTGCCATGAAAAGATGGAGACAGTAACAAAGCCATTGCTCTATAAAATCTCCCCTTCCCCCATTTTGGGTCCTTGACTTCATGTTTATACTTTACCATAAGGAGAAACTATTTTCACCGGGTATAAAACTACTTTTTAGATGATACTGATGCATCTATGTTGGGTTTCTTCTCTGAGAAATGCATCAGTAGGTCATTTTGTTTCACTGTAAGCATCACAAAGGGTAGTTATCTAATCTACATGGCGTAGCCTACACAGAAGCTATAGGGCACAGCCTATTGTGCCTGTGCTACCAATCTGTATAGTAAGTTACTGTAATAAATAATGTAGCATGGTTTATGTACCTGTGTATGTAACCATATCTAGAAAACTGAATAGGTATGGAAAAAATACTAGGGAATGGGAAATTTTCAGCTCCATTATAACATCATAAAACCATTGTCATATATCATTGACTTCATTATGTAGTGCATGACAGTAAATAGACTATTTAGAAATTAGCAATTGATTATTTAGAAATATATATATATCCCCTATACATATAATATATATATATATTCCATATACATATATATTCCCTAAGAGGCCATAATCTCCATTTGTACAGTGCAGCAATTGCTGTTATATTATCAACTTCAGAACTCAGGGACTGTTACCAAGGAATTATGTAATTTTAATCTTCGGTAGAAAGGATCAAGGAAGAAGGAAACAAAGAGTTGAACAGAAATGCATCAAGCTCAGCCAAGTGGTACTTAGGAACAGGATTTTCTGATGCAATAAAATCTCCCAAAGTAGAATAATCAGACAGCATCGGGTTAGAAAAGAAAGGAAATATATTTAAGTTCTTGTGAGAAGTAGATGAAAAAACGTTTAAGAAACTAGGTGAAAGCAATTTAAAATACTGGGAATAAGGAATACTTGGTACATACTGGAAGGCCTATATAAGAGATCTTACAGTGGTGTAATCTGGCATTATTGTTCTGGTTTGCAGAGCCTGCACGATACAATCTTCATACAGGTTTATCTCCAAATGGTAAGGAATAAAGTATATTTGTAAGATGTGATGCAATTGCTTTGAGTAAGACTTACAAAGCCTGGGACAAAAATCATACAAGCTGCAATTTATTCAGCAAATATATTCCTTTAGATTCCTAGGCACAGTACTTTACATCCAAACTGAAATAAGGATTTGCAAAATACTGAGCATATGAGAATTTCCTTCCTTCTTTCTTCTCTCTTTCCCTCCCTTTCTCTCTCCATCCCTTTACTTCCCTTTTCTTCCTCTTTCCTTCCATCTTTCTCTTCCTTCCCCCTTCCTTCCTTCTTTCCTTCCCCCTTCCTTCCATCCTTCCTTCCTTCCTCCCTCCCTCTCTCCCTGCCTTCCTCCCTATTTCCCTCACTCCTTCTCTCCCTCCTTCCCTTCTTCCTTCCTTCCTTCTTTCCTTCCTTCCTTCTGCTGAGGACCAAATTCAGGATCTTGCACAAGCTGTACAAGGATCTTGCACAAGGTTTTCTAACACTAAGCTATACTATCAGAACTATTTTTATAAACATACTTTCTTTTTACAGATCAGATAAATTATTCTGTACTTACTAGAAGCAGAGTTTAAGTCTAATTAAACAGCTTTTTACAATAGCTAAAAAAAAAGAGGAACTGATCATTAGCAGTAACATAAATAACAGCCAACAGAGACCAACGAATACATCAGAACACTAGTTTTTCCCAAAGGATTTTGAGAAGACAGTCTTCTGCAAGCATCATCTCTCTCTGCTTATCCTACTTTGGGCACACAGAGAAGGTTGTATATTTATCACATGGGATGTGACCATTTTTTCTTGGAAATGTGTCTGTCCAGAGTCAGCAGTAGTATGTCACAATAATCAAATGGTTCTTGAAACACTCAAGTCTCCACCTGTCATAAGGAACTCTCAAAGACAGCAGTAGGTATAACAGTAGGACTCTCTGTAGGGAACTAGCTTTGGTGATAGGACAAGTGTCTTCTGCAAACATCTTCTTATCTCTCTGCATACACTGGAAAGAATGAATCACCTCGTTTCTGCACCTGGGCTCTATTTTCCTTTTACTTACTGCTCTTCTGCAGTACATTACATGCATGGTGGGCTTTCTCGCCTTTCTGAGCAGACCATTCTTCCTCACTACTGTCTTTGTGAGGGAAGAGTTCTAGTTTTCCCACCTTTTTTTTTTTTTTTTTTTTTTTTTTTGCAAAATTCAGTTCCCTTGAACTTGGTCTCGAATATTCTAGATATAATAACTACTGCATGTTCTGTGTTACTGTTCAATTAGCTGCCTTATATCAGTATATTTGAATGTAATCCTGATAGCATAAGGTACAAGCAGTAATCACTCTAGAATCAAGAACATCACCTCATATCTTCTCTTTCTGGAAAGAACATGTCATCACATTGTCCCTGTAGATCCAAAGTCTCCAGCATGAAAACACAAAATAATCAAACACTTACAGTTTTTATAGTCATTCCAGGTCCAGGTTGGAATAAAGCAGGAATCATTAAATGGCACAGGTTCCAGAGCTATGGCTATAGTTCCCACATAGTTAGTGATACCAGCATCCCTGGAGAGTTTTAGCAACATAAGGTCATTTTTCAGGGTTTTTTCATCAAATTCAGGGTGAGTCACAGCCAATGAGTAATTCCGCGACTGCTCTTTCTTATTTTTGATGCTAGGTTGATGAACTCCCAGTCGAATTGCCTTACTTTGAAAGAAAGAAAGTGAGAAGGTGGTAAAAGAAGAGAATCACAAAATGCCACACTTTAAAAAATGTGAGAAATCATCTTGTTGAATCATCTTCATCTCATTTGTTAAGCTGAAAACTGAAGTGACCTAATTTTGTCTGTAAAATAGGATTACTCTATGGCAGGCATGCATATGTCAAATTTGACAGGGTATTGGACATCTAAAATACACCCAAAAAGTCCATTCTTGGTAAGATTTGGGCAATCTGAATTAGCAGAGGGCAAGTAAAGAGGGCACCACAATCCCCAGTGTTAGAGCTTTGTCTCTTCCGCAGTCTGCAGCAGCCCTTGAGAAAGCACACAATACTCCTTATTTCTGGGTATGGTTGGGCTGTCCATTGCCCTTACTGGCCCAAATGACTGTATAGACTATGTGTTGTTCACAATGATCGCGGACTCACAAAACCTTGGTAGCAATTTGTCAGGGCTCCCAGTTGCCATTTCCCCTTTTCTTCCCCTGCAAATCAAGGCTTGCCCACCTCCATCCCCAAGAGTCCAGCCACGCAGCAGATCGTAAGGCATTCCCTGCCCAAAGGGGTTCACGCACTGTGTGGGGACGATGGGGAGAATATCTGCCCTCCCAGCTCCAAATACAAGGGAATGAGAATTGACTTTGTTTCCAGCGTGTTCATCCTCATGCAGAGAGCAAGCATTTGACTTGTGTTGGACTACACTGCCTTAAGCAACCAGAAGGCTGAGAATCTGAATCTGAAATGGCCCTGTATGCTTCTGGAACTCTGAGTAGGACTTCCATACACAGCGACTTCCAACACCTGACAATAGCACTGAGATTTGCGTGGGAGGCATTATGTTGTAGTGTGTTTTCCTGTGACCCGCATGATGTGGCCTCTGAATAACGCTTTAATTTCATCCTATGAATATGCCCCCTACTCATTACATTCTATCAACAGTGATTCCTCAGTCTGGCAAATACCCTAATATCTTGCTATGTCAGAGACTACATGAATATTTGTCCTTGAGCTGGAACTATCCCCTAGGCTTGATTCTTTTCACTGTCTTTTTCTTTTCCTGCTGGTTCACATCTTTAGAGAGGTCTAGCTCTGCAACCCTGTATATTATTCTCATATATGTATCTGCTATTCTGTTTTATGCTTTCTTTGGGGTCATGTACTTGTTTGGGGGTACTCTCTCTATCAGAATGTAAGCTCCATGCAGGAAACTTTATTTCTATCATACACCCTCACTGTTGTCTCAGTGCATTAAACAGCCCCATTTTTATAGTAAATGTTTGACAATATTTGTTGATGAATGAATAGTATTTACTTCCCATTGAAGTCTTCTGATATTTCCTATTGATCTCCAATTAAACCACCCAAATGTGTATTCTATTTTCCACTGAGAAGATGATCCTCTGTCTTCCTGGGTCTTCTAGTTCCACTGAAAACTCTCTGGAATATTTCACCACACTTACTTCATTTGAATAGATCCCTCTCAGCTCCCAGGAGCAGAGGGCTCCTTACTTACGGTAAGGAACAGTGAGCGGCTGTCAAGATCCATTCGGGATGAATGAGAGACCCCACACAGGGCTCCGGGCTGGCCTGCAGATAGACCAGGTAAGGAATGGAGATCTCGTCTAGTATTTTCAACTTTGTGTGAGATTGTTCCAGAGCAACACCTGGAGAACAGAGAGGTCAGTGGTAGAAAGAAAGACAAAGAGGTTAGGTGGCTAGAACTGGCTAGAGTAGAGTTCGCTACTGGAGGTTTCCAAAGATAGTATTTTTTTTTTTTTTTTTTGGTTTTTCTCCGGTACCGGGAACCAAACTCACGACCTTGCGCTTGCCAGGCAGGCGCTTTGCCGCTGAGCTAAATCCCCAGCCCACAGTAGTATTAAAGACCCTATATTTAGTATTTTTTAAAGTAAGAGAAAATCATGCATGCTACTCAAGGTAAACAACTTACAATGAAACAATGAAAAAATGTTGACACTTTAAATGCATTCTTTACTAAAAATTAACTTTTATCAAGAATGGAGGGGAAAGATAAAATACTGCCTGACTTTAGTAGTGAAAAGAAAAGTGTGGGAAAGCTTGGGACTTCCAGAGGCAACAAGCAGCCTACAGTCTCTTCCTGGCCCTCTCTTCTAATAACCACCTGCCCAGGGAACGAGAGGAGCACTATGCAGGAGAAATGAAGTCTAGGCAACCATATGCTTGGGGCGTGAGGAGGGTGTCCTAGGGAGAGCAGGCCACCGACACGAAGGGCATCCTGAGCAGCTCCCCGGCGTCCTAGGGATCAGAGAGCGCCGTGCCAGGATGAAGTCTGTGTGTGAAGAGTGGCTCCTTTCATTTTCTTCAACAGTGAACTGCTTTGTTAAAATGCCCCCACCCCACCCACTTCCTATTACTTTGGTTCCAGCTGGCTACTTCTCTTCCCAACCCCTAATATACCTCCCTGGGTCTCACTCCAGCCAGAAACCAGTACCCAAACTCTCACCTGTGGCACTCATGAAAATGAAGATGAGATAGCCCCTCATGGCGGGCTGTGATCCTGCTGGGGCAGACAAGCGGTTCAAGCTGTACATGGTCTCAGTATAGAGTGCAGGGTCTGTGACACGAGCAGCTGAAATGGGGGGGAGAAGATTGTAGTGGAGTGAGATGAGAACCAAGGGTCCTACAGTGGTCTTCAAGTTAGTCCTTATCAAGGTTAAATTGTATAAAATATCACTGGACGCCAAGTATGAGGTGGGTAACCAAGATGAAGGAATAGATTTAGTTAAGACCTTGGTGCTTCTGTTCTGACCCCAAAAACCTCCCCAGCATCATTAGGTATCTGCTGACTGCTTGCTTCTTGTTTGTGATGTAGTTTTACTTTGTTGTCCCCGCCTTCCTTTGTGACTTTAAATCTCTCTCTATGTGTCCTTTCTCTATCCTCCTCTGTAAACTCCCTCTTTCTAGAGTTCATGCTACATCTAGAGTCTCACAGGACATTCGGATAAAAAATACATTTAAGAAATCATTGTTTGTTGGTTTGTTTTTTTAACCTTTCCCCTCGATTTACTGATATGGAGTTTGTGGTCCAGATGGCAGATTGGGGCAAAGTCAGGGCTCAGAACGAAGCCTCCAGATTCCCTATGATAAGGCTAAGCATTCCTGAACCTTGTTCTCCCAGAAAACACCCCCACCTTTGTTTTTGGGGACGTTAAAAGAGAACCACTCTTCCCACAAAAGCTGGATCTGACCTTCCATGTATTCTTCCTCATCACTTCTGTAAGACTTTGGATTCTTCCTTTGCGTACCTTTGACTGGTCAAACCAGATCTTTCCCCTTTTGCTTGCACCTGCTGACAAGACCAGACACAAACCCTCCTCTGACTCTTTGTTCTATGAATGATGAATGTTCTATGAATGAATGTTCTAAGATCAGAACAGTTATATACTGATCTTCAGGCTGGAGACACTCACTGTCCTACTGGAGCGGAACAAAACCCACCTCTACACCCACTGCTCTTTCCAAATGTACTACACTCTGTTCTATAAGATAATCTGATAATTTTCTGTCTGTGCTATAAGATAATCTGATAAGATAAGTTTCTATCTGTGCTATAAGATAATCTGATAAGCTAATTTTCTGCCTGTCCCTCAGAGATTGGAAGTAATAAACAGCAGGTTCAACCTCATATTTTATAGAGATTGAACAAATGCAAAACATGCAGCCCTGCACTGGCCTTTGTCAGAATGAAGAACTGATCAGTTATAAGAGACCATAAAATAGCTTTCCTATATCTAAAAGTTACATGCAAACTCGGTTCTTATAAAATTTAATTATGAATTTAAAACATGACATCTAGATGACCCCAAATTTTCCAACCTTTAGGGGATTTCATTTCTTTAGTATGAAAAGCTTCAAAATAATATTAATAGTAAAAATTAATGTTTATTATGTTTTCACCACATGTCAAATGCCTCATTTGTGTGAACAGAATTATCTTTTTATTATGCCCACAAATTAAATATTAGTTACTCTTTTTTTTTGTTTTGCAAATAAGAAACTAAAGCTCCAGGACTGGGCATATAGCTCAGTGACATAAGCGCTTGCCTGACAAGCGCAAGGTCGTGAGTTCAATCACCGGTTCAATCCCCCCCCAAAAAAAAGAAAAAAAAAAAAAAAAGAAAGAAACTAAAGCTCCATATGGTCAAAAAAGCTTGCTCACAATCACACAGTTTATACCTTCAGTTCCTGACATTCCTGACAGTCTGGCTCCCCTCCACTCTTTCCGAAGTTTTACCTGGTGGACTGGAACTTATTTCTGGTGGTTTCTCTACTTATTTTCAGGCAGCATATGAAGACAGCCGCCTCATCTTCATTTCTCAGTCCACTGCTAACCTGATCCTGGGGTGGCTTTCAGACTTTAAGTGAAGATTTGGATTTAATAAGAGAAGCTGTGACTCAGATCTGAAAATACTTTCAGAGCATCAGCAATCACTTTGCAAAAATTTTAATTATCTGCAACATAACATGTTTTCCTTCCATAGCCCTGTTCCTGGTTACAGCAGCAGTGTCCTGAATCCCCCTTTTATGCCTTGTTCCCACCCCATGTCTTCCCCAGCAACCAAGCCTCTTCTCAGGAAGTCTCTGAAGAGAATTTCTTTTTAAGTCATCAAAGGAAAATTGAACATTTTTGTTATTATTTCGCATTGAAGATTCATGGATTCATTAATAAAAATATGCAGGCAACTACTGCCAATTCTCTGTCTTTTAAAGTACCTATAAAAAATTAGAGTAGAGAGTAATTATTCACTTCTTGGAGAAGTGAGAGAGCACAATTCATTTTTTTGTTGTTGTTGAGGATAGGGTACTTGGGATTGAACACAGTGCCTTTGCACTAAGCTGCTCCCTATGTGGCTAAATTGCTCAGGCTGGGTATGAACGTCGTACCCTTCTGTCTCAGCCTCCCAGGATTCTGGGATTGCAGATGTGCACCACCATGCCCAGCTGAGCAGTTACAGAGGTTTTAAGAGTTATGAGGCATTGTCATCATCATACCCTTTATAACTCCTTTTCTTTTAAACATCAAATGTCACTCAATTATGACCTCATCTAGTACAATGTTATTTCTAAGAAATTTTGGGGGTAGCTTTTATAAAAAGCATTTTAATATTCTCTAGCGCTCCTCTTTATATAGAAGGGAAAGTCTAATTTTCTTTTTCTTGGATATGGACTGGCATAATTTTTTAATACATTTCCTAAAATCCAGTACAATTTCCTTATGGCTGTCTTCTTTGGAGGCACAAATCCTTGGAACCCCGCTAGTTTGTTTTTTTTTTTTTTTTTTTGGTTTTTCTCCGGTACCAGGAACCGAACTCACGACCTTGCGCTTGCCAGGCAGGCGCTTTTGCCGCTAAGATAAGAAGTTTTTACACATCCTTTTGGGGTACTGGGAATAGAACCCAGGGACTTTACACTGAACTAAAAACTCAGCCCTTTTTATTTATTTATTTTTTTGTTTTGAGACAGTTTCACTGAATCATTAAGTTGCCCAGGCTGGGTTTGAACTTGTCATTTGCCTGCCTCAGCTTGTCAGGGTGCTGGGATTATAGGTATGCACCACCATGCTTGTCCTAAAATAAACACTTCTGATATATCAACTATTTATTCCCTTTCTTTTCTTCTTCATACAATATACTTGGAAGTTCTGATTCACTCCTAGTCACCCAAATCTCCCTTCTTTCAAATGAGATTTAATTATATATACCATATGCACTACACTGAACTTTTCAACATTTTAAGCTTTATAAGTACAGCATCTATACTTAACATTTTCTGTTTTTGTGAACGTGAGCCCCCAAACCTGCACACCAGAGATCCTCCTCATTGGTCCATTTGTCTGTTGAACACACTCACCAGCTGCCCCCAGGAGGGTGAGGAAGATGAAGGTCTTCATGGCTTCTCACTGGATCTGTACTGAGGAACAGGATAAAGACTTTCTATGCACAGATATTTATTCCTCCAAGTTTGTCACTGACACCCATGGCCATAGGTGCTAGAAAAGTGATTTCAGTGGAAACTCACAGATCTAAATTCAGAATTCAACTACATGACATGTGGGTAATGACTTGGTAGCAAATTAAAGCATCAACTTGCACTGTTCCAGAAAGTTACGGAATGACAGCAATAAACACAGCTTGTGGGAACTTCTCCTGTTCTAGGAAAATAAGTAGGAGTAGGGTCACAAGACAAGGCTGCAGATTTCTCAACTCTCGGTCAAAAATGTCTGGGACTTGGTAGACTCATTCTGAACTTTTATCCTAAAGACTCTATTGAACCCTGCATCCTGATGTTTCGATAACACTGGTTGTCTCACATTTACATACTTTGTCTTAGACATAATTCTTACTTGAAATCATGATAGGTAAAAGGGAAAAGTAAAAGGATAATAATAACTTACATGTTTTTCCAGAATTTACTATATGTTAGGGACAGAGCTCTCTCTCCTATGACTTCACTTTTTGGTGGTACTGGGAGATGTGACTGAACTCATGACTTCACCCTGTGTTTGTTAGATTTTGATGAAATATGGCTGCTTCAGAGACTGTTAGTTGGAATTGTTTTGTCAAAGATCAGGTAAACAGGGTGAAATCCTTTATGTACAGGATCTCAAGCTCTAGCAGAAAGAAGATTCCAACAAAGAGGTAACTATGGTGATGATTTAGAGAGGAGAGAAAAACCTTATTTCCCTCCCAGGAAGAGGAAAGGAATACAGGAAGAAAAGAAAAATGAATGAATTCATCCTTAAGGTGCTTTAAATCCACCCCAGTTGCTGAAGGGATGGTGTCACTATTAAGTTGTGAGGATATGAATATCATCTAATTGATTCAGGACACTTATCACAGCTTCTGTTTGCTGGCATTTGTTGTTTTTCTAGTGCCACTCATCCAGCAGCCAGATGCCCTTCCCCCATCAGGAACTTATATGGCTCTTGGTCAGAAAGAACTGTATCGGCTCATTTAGGAGGACACACATAAGGAGTGATCACCCAGGCTCACGAGCCTCTACATGTTTGTTGTGTATATATGCAAGACAGACTCAAGACATGGTGGATGGAATCAGGGATAAAACCGTGGAAGCCACCGCCATAAGCACCACGTAAGCCAACCAAGAGTACAAATCTTGTTATTTAGCACAGAATATTGCAATTCTTGGAAGGAAAGGAGTCTCTGACAAAATGTGGTACAGAAATTCAAGAAAAGAAGTATTTGGAGAGAAATCAGCATTTGGTACTCCAGCAAGATTTCTTTCATAATTATGGGGTTTCAACATATAGGTACACCAAAAAATGGGAAAATTCAACTAAGGATGACTTGATTTAATATATCCATTAATAGGGAATGTCTGATATTTCTAAATTAGTTTTCTCTCACATTAAAGACTTTAGCCAGTAAAACAAAAAGAATGCATATATACTATCTTCTTTCTAGCTATGACTAAAGATTTATTTTTGTTTATTTATATTTAATTTAAAAACTCCAAATGTGGGGCTGGGGATTTAACTCAGTGGCACAGCACCTGCCTGGCAAGCACGAGGTTGTGAGTTCGATTCCCAGTACTGGAAAAAAACCCCAAAAAACAATAAAGCCAACTAATCTTGGGGCTGAGGATTTAGGTCAGTGGCACAGAGCCTGCCTGGCAAGCACAAGGTCATGAGTTTGATTCCAAGTACTGGAAAAAAAAAAACCCCAAAAAATGAAAAAATAAAATAAATAAAACATAAAAACTCCAAATACTTTTCAGGGTTTATGTGACTTGGTACATCTTAAACTGATTAGGTTGCTAATGCTGTTGGTTTTC